GATGATAAAGAAGGAGATGGTAGGAGAAAGAGGGAGATGGGAGAGGAGAGGAGAGAAAAGAGGGAATGGGAGAGGAGGAGGAGGAGAAAGAGGGAGAGAGGAGAGGAGGAGGAGGAGAAAGAGGGAGATGGGAGAGGAGGAGGAGGAGAAAGAGGGAGATGGGAGAGGATGATGATAAAGAGGGAGATGGGAGAGGAGGAGGAGGAGGAAAGAGGGAGAGAGGAGAGGAGGAGGAAAGAGGGAGATGGATGAGGATGATGATAAAGAGGGAGATGGGAGAGGAGAAGAGGGAGGAGAGGAGGAGAGGGGAAAGAGGGAGATGGATGAGGATGATGATAAAGAGGGAGATGGAAGAGGAGAAAGAGGGAGAGAGGAGAGGAGAAGAAAGATGAGATGGGAGAGGAGGATTAGGAGAAAGAGGGAGATGGGAGAGGGAGGAGGAGGAGAAAGAGGAGAGAGGAGAGGAGGAGGAGGGAGAAAGAGGGAGAGAGGGAGGAGGAAGGAGAAAGAGGGAGATGGGAGAGGAGGAAGGAGAAAGAGGAGAGAGAGAGGAGGAGGAGGAGAAAGAGGAGAGAGGAGAGAAGGAGAGGAGAAAGAGGGAGAGAAGGAGGAGGAGGAGAAAGAGGGAAAGAGGGAGGAGGAGAGGAGAAAGAGGGAGCAGAGGAGGAGGAGGAGGAGAAGAGGGAGAGGGAGAGAGGCAGGAGGAGAAGAGGGAGAGGAGAGGAGGAGAAAAGGGAGATGGGAGGGAGGAGTGAGAGAGAGGAGAGAGAGGAGGAGGAAAAGAGGGAGCATGAGGAGGAGGAGAAGAGGGAGATGGGAGAGATGATGATAGAGGGGAGAGGAGAGGAGAGGAGGAGAAAAGAGGGAGAGAGGAGAGGAGGAAGAGGAGAAAGAGGGAGATGGGAGAGGAGGAGGAGGAGAAAGAGGGAGATGGGAGAGGAGGAGGAGGAGAAAGAGGGAGAGAGGAGAGGAGGAGGAGGAGGAAAGAGGAGATGGGAGATGGAAAGAGGGAGATGAGAGAAAGAGGGAGATGGGAGAGGAGAAAGTAGGAGAAAGAGGGAGAAGGGAAAGAGGAGAGGAGAAAGAGAAGATAGGAAGGAGAAGGGAAAGGAAGATGAGGGGGGAGAAAATATAGGGAGAGAGGAGAGGAGGAGGAGGAAAAGAGGGAGAAGGATAGGAGAAAGAGGGAGAGAGGTAAAAGGAGGAGGATAGAAAGAGGGAGATAGATATATATATATATATATATATATATATATATATATATATATATATATATATATATATATATATATATATATATATATATATATATATATATATATATATATATATATATATATATATATATATATATATATATATATATATAATATATATATATATTATATATATATATATATATATTATATATATATATATATATATATATATATATATATATATATATATATATATATATATATATATATTATATATATATTTATATAATATATATATATATATTATATATATTATTATATAGTATATTATAATATAATATATATATATATATATATTATATATATATATATATATATATATATATATATATATATATATATATATATATATATATATATATATATATATAATATAATATATATATATATATATATATATATATATATATATATATATATATATATATATATATATATATATATATATATGTATATAATATATATATATATATATATATATATATATATATATATATATATATATATATATATTATATAATATATATATATATTATATATATATATATATATATATATATATATATATATATATATATAATATTATATATATATATATATATATATATTATATATATTATATATATATATATATATATATTATATATATATGTATATATATATATATATATATATATATATATATAATATATATATATATATATATATATATATATATATATATATATATATATATACATAGATATATATAATAAATATATATAAATATTTATATATCTATATATATGTATAGATTATATATGTAGCTATTATACATGTTTATCTACTTATTAAATATATTTTTTTTATGTATATATATGTATATGTATATATATCTGTTATAAATGTTTATAGATAATTAAATATTTTTCTATACCTGCTATGTGTAATTTTCAACCTAATTTCCCTTTCATTTTCTATTCTCGATTTCTCTCTTATTGTTTCTCTATTTCTCTTTTATTTCTTCATCTTCTCTCCCTCAAAATCGCCAATTTTGGATCTGGATTTCACTACTTATCTCATTTTGTTATTTTTGTCTCTCTTCTTCTCTTCTCCTTCTCTTTCCATATTCTTCGAATTTTCTCTCGTGTCTCTCTTTGCATTTTCTTCTAATTCTCTTTCTTTCTGTCTCTATTTTCTTTTAATTCTCTTTCTTTCTCTTTCTATTTTCTTCTAATTCTCTTTCTTTCTCTTTCTGTTTTCTTCTAATTCTCTTTCTTTTCTCTCTATTTTCTTCTAATTCTCTTTCTATTTTCTTCTAATTCTCTTTCTTTCTCTTTCTATTTTCTTTTAATTCTCTTTCTTTCTCTGTCTATTTTCTTCTGATTCTCTATCTTTTCTTCTCTTTCTATTTTCTTCTGATTCTCTTTCTTTCTCTTTATATTTTCTTGTAATTCCCTTCCTTGTCTCTCTTTCTATTTTCTTGTAATTCTCTTTCTTTCTCTTTCTATTTTCTGTTTTCTTTGTATCTCTCTATTTCTTTTCTTCCTTCCTTTATTCTTCTTTTCTTTTTCTCTTTTCTTTGTATCTTCTTATTCTCTTTCTTTCTTCCTTTATTCTCTTTTTCCTTTGTATCTCTCTTATTCTCTTCTTTTCCCTTCCTATTCTTCTTTTTTCTTGTATTCTCCTTATTTCTTTCTATCTCCTTATTCTTCTTTTCTTTGTATCTCCCTTATTCTCTTTCTTCCCTTCCTTCTTCTTCTTTTTGTTTGTATCTCTCTTATTCTCTTTCTTCCCTTATTCTTCTTTTTTGTATCTCTCTTATACCCTTTCTTCCTTCCTTTATTCTTCTTTTTCTTTGTATCTCTCTTATTTCTCTTTTTCTTCCTTCCTTTTCTTTTTTCTTTGTATCTCTCTTATTCTCTTTCTTCCCTTATTCTTCTTTCTTTGTATCTCTCTTATACCCTTTCTTCCTTCCTTATTCTTCTTTTTCTTTGTATCTCTCTTATTCTCTTTCTATCCTCCTTTATTCTTCTTTTTCTTTGTATCTCCCTTATTCTCTTTCTTCCTTTCCTTATTCTTCTTTTTCTTTGTATCTCTCTTATTCTTTTCTTCCTTCCTTATTCTTTTTTTTCTTTGTATCTCTTTATCTCTTTCTTCCCTTCCTTATTCTTCTTTTTCTTTGTATCTCTCTTATTCTCTTTCTTCCTTATTCTTCTTTTTCTTTGTATCTAAATATTCGTCGATCTGTTTCTAGTTCCTGCCGCTAATTTCGAACCTGATTTCCAGCCCGTCAGGATAACTGGCCTCCCCTCCCCTCGGCTTGCCCCGTCGGCCCGTGCTTCTACCAGGACATCAGCGTCGACATACCCCTTGAGTTCCAGAAGATCGTGCGGATGCTCTACTATCTCTGGATGTGTACGTATCGGGTTGGCGTTTGCGAAGTTTGTAATCTCTTCCCCCCCTCCTTTATTTATTTATTTATTATTATTATTATTAATTAATTTTTTTTTTTTTTTTTTTTTTCTTTCCTTCCTTTTGGATAAAATTTGCCGTCTTCAATACATTTTCGCAATCAAAATCTTTGATTTTATCCCCCTCCATCACCACCACCATGCACTATACCTGTTTATATAGTCTGATGCGTGCGATGTGATTGCTGGGAAATCATGATATTGAATGGAGTTTTTTTATGTATAATGCTTACATAAATGCATTAACAATGATACATCCACATACATACATAAAAACATAAATACATAACCACATACATATCCTCATACACAAATACATAGGCCTATATACATAAAAGCATTCATACATAAACAAATAGGTCTACATACATACACACATAGGTCTACATACATACACACATAGGTCTACATACATACACACGTAGGTCTACATACATACACACATAGGTCTACATACATAAATACATAGGTCTACATACATAAACATATAGACCTACATACATAAACATATAGACCTATATACATAAACATATAGACCTACATACATAAAAGCAATCACGCACGCACACACACACACAGGCCTACATACATAAAATCATCATACATACATTGGTTTATATACGTAAAAGCATTCATACATACATAAACACAAAGGCCTACATATATAAAAGCATACGTACACAAGAGCATACATACATATCCACACACACAGTTATAAAAGCGCTGCGAGTACCACCTCGTGGCCTCGCCCGATTACCCCCCTCCATCAGTTCTTGGGAAAGATGCGATTGGTATTATAGGTGTTAGGATTATCACCATTATTATTACATTATTACAATGCTGTTGAATTACTAACAGTTATAATAAGTTAGAAGAGAATATATCTGAAAATTAAGGAAAAGGGTAATTAGGTGAGATAGTAATGAACTCCTACTAATTACTAGGAGTTAATTACTAGTACTATTTAATAGTTAGATATTATTAACACCTTGGTGTTGTGTCTTGCGGAGTCATCTGTGCGTAAAGACAGTTCATCCCTTGCCGTCGGCTGGCTTGTACGTACATGCCATGACTGTTGTGGACAGAAAATGACATCGTATCATGACCATTCCCATGCCGTTGGCTCATTGGACAGATTTTGTTTTTCTCCAATAGTAGTGGCTTTATTTATATGGTAAAGCTTTTAGGCAACAGCACCTGAAGTGAAGAAAACCGTTCAAATTTTCAATATTATTAGAAATTATGGCAAAATAAAAGCTTTTTGGTGCAGAATGTCGCTCGCAAACTA